TTTATGGTGGGGGTGGGGGGTCACCACAACATGAAGAACTGTATGAAAGGGTTGCCGTATTTAGGAAGGTTGAGAACCACTGCCTTAGAATGATCATCCTCAGAGATCAAAATCGCAGCATTTGCCCAAGCTCCAGGCTCAGCTGACCAGAGGGCAGGGTGAGGAAGGGTGGTGGACTGGAATTGTGAGCAGGGGGAGGACTTGAGGAAGGGATGTCACGCTGTGGGGGCGGCAATAGGCACAGACTGCAACAGAATGTGCACAGCTTGGTGAATGGAAGACGGATTTGTTCTGGAAAGCTCCACTCGATTCACGACACAATGTTTTTAGAAGATGTAGCACTGCCGTCTGCTCTCAAAGCGGAGGGGGGCCTTCGGTTTGCGCTACTTTGAGTTTCACAGAACACAGGTGAGACTTGCTTCTCAGTTTAGCATCCTTCCCCCCTCTCCCCCTTTCTGTCCTGGACTCAGGTGGGCCCTACGGATCCTTAGGAGTCGATTTTGAATTTGAGAAACTTCTGTGTAAAATATTCGGTGAAGATTTCATCGAGCAATTCAAGATCAAGCGCCCTGCAGCCTGGGTCGACTTAATGATCGCCTTCGAGTCTCGCAAGCGCGCGGCCGCCCCGGACCGAACGAACCCGCTGAACATCACCCTGCCCTTCTCCTTCATCGACTACTACAAGAAGTTCAGAGGGCACAGCGTGGAGCATGCCCTGCGGAAGAGCAAGTGAGCCAGGCTCCTGGGGCCGGAGGGAAGGAGGAAGGGGGTGGGCTGAAGCCCTCACATAGGAGAGGAGCATCCCCACGGGTGTATCCATTCCCCTTTCATTGGCATTTGCTTAGTTCCAGAACATCCCCCAAGTGTTTTCACGGACTTATTTCAGATCATCGAACGGGATCTTCCCACAGCTCTCAGGGGGGAGCTACAGCAGGTGGTGTGGGCCAGTTTGCTGAGAGCTGGCCAGCTTGTGGAGTGTTAGAGGGTGGACAGGAACCCAGTCCGTGTCTATTTATTGGGCTCCTTGTCTTTGGCAGTAGGCTTAGGCTTTCACTCCCCCAGGGGGATGGAGCCCTAGTGGCATAGTAGTTAAGCACTTGGTTGCTAACTCCAAGGTCAGTGGTTGGAAGCCACCAGCCACTGCGCTGGAGGAAGCTGTAGGAGTGTGTAGCCTTGGGAACCCTGTGCGGCAGGCAGTCCGACCGTGTTAGATTTGACTTACTAGTGATGGTTTGGTTTTCGGATCCCAGGGGAAGGTGAACCACAGCCGGAATTGAAGCTAGAAGAGGTGATATCTTTGCTTTTGAGCTAAGTGTCTGGGTCCTGGCAGTTCTAGGAATTTCCCAGGGTGCCTTGCTGCCCCGAGAGATGATGGCTGTGCAGAGAAACCCGGCCATTGCTCCAACACTCACCATCGCCTCTCCTTGTGCCGTGCTCCACAGTGTGGACTTCGTGAAGTGGTCCTCACAGGGGATGCTGAGGATGAGTCCAGATGCGATGAACGCCCTCTTCAAGCCCACCATCGACAGCATCGTGGAGCATCTCCGTGAGTATATACCCTGCAGGGCCCGGCCAGCTGGTGGCCAGGGTTCGGAATGGGCCCAGGCTTGAAAAGTCAGGTTGCTGGTGGCCCCAGGGCACAGCCAAAGATGACAGCTCCAATCATGACCTCCTTCCTAGCAGAGGCTTGGGGTCTCTCCTCTCAGGCAGCCTGTCCTCCCTCACCTGGGCTTTCAGGTGGGTTTCAAAGGAGAGCGGAAACTCAGGTGATTTTATCCTGGAGGGCGGATGAGGGTACATCAGAGCCTTTATTCCTATGAAATCATAGAAAGCTCCATTAAAACAAAAAATAAATAAAAATATAAAGCTCTATTTTCTCTACACACCCTCCATCTAGGTCTATATGTTTCCCCCTCGCTAACCCTCCCCCGAAAAATTCAATTTACACCAGGTCAGATGGTCAGTTTGGCCATCCCTGAGGGTTTCCGATTATGTTCCTTTGAAATATCCTTTGAGTTTGGGGAACACAGAGGGGGAAAGGGACAAGATCAGGGCTTCAGGGTGAATGGGGTCAGGTTTCCCAACAAAATTCCGATAGGATGGCCCTTGCTACCCTTGCAAAATGGACAGGAGCCCTGTCCAGATGGAAAAAACCAGAACAACAAAAACCACTTCGATGCAAATCCCCTGGCCCGCTCCTAGTCAGGGCAGTCTATTTTCCCTGTTCCCCGCCCTTCTTCACAAAAGCCGCTGTGATTGTCCTGCGTCCTTCGAGAAAGTCTGGGAAGATGATGCCTTTGAAATGCTCCAACCATTCGCCAGAGCCTTCTGGGCTGACCTCTGTGCCTGGACTTTAACTGGCCCAGCGGTCCTCTCAGAAGCTTCTGTGCTGGTTGGCTCTTCTTTCGAACGAAACCCAAGCAAGACCCAGCCGAGTGTGACCGAGAGAACAGGTCTGCAGTCATCCAGCTGTGAAAAAGGAGCCCTGGTGGCCTAGTGGTTGTGTGTGGGCTGCTGACTGACTGCGAGGTCAGCAGTTTGAAACCACCAGCTGCTCCCGGGGAGAAAGATGGTGCTTTCTACTCCCATAAAGAGTTACGGTCTTGGAAACTCACAGGGGCCATTATAGCCTTTCTTACAGGGACATGTTGAAACGGCACCAACTCAATGGCAACGAGTTTGGTTTGGGAGTTGTGAGAAAAAAAGGAGCCCTAGGGGTATAGTGGTTATGTGTTGTGCTGCTCACCACAAGGTCAATGGTTCTAAGCCACCAGTCACCCCTCTGGAGAAGATGAGGCTTTCTACTTTCATAAAGAGTTACAGTCTTGGAAACCGACGGGGGCAGTTCCACAGGGTTGCCGTCATCTGTCTTTTCGGAACTGGGAAAGCCGGAGCCCTGATTACTAGTAGGTTACACATGGGGCCGCCCCACGCTGCCAAGCTGTGGATTTCCCCACAGTGTGGTTGCAACCTCTGTGTACTAGGAGTGTCTTCCAGTTTAGAGAACACTGGCAGAGCCCCCTGCCCCCCAATTCCCCCTTTGCTAGGCTTCTGTCCAATTGGTTCCCTTGAAGGCTTCCCTTGGCTCAGGGGCAGGGAGCACCATGTCAAAAGAACTACCTCTCCCCGGCTGTGAGCAGGATGCCCTCAGGGAGTTCTCTCTGAGCTTTCCAGAGAGATCCTGATAGAGTTCTTGGAGGTGACCTTTGTGAACTTAGGGGCCCGGTGGTGAACATGGGTCCCTCCCCAGGCTTTTGAATCTCTCAAGCTCAGTCTTCAGCCATGAGTCATTGACCCGGACCAGATGCTAGCGAGGCAGTGCTGACTCTTGGTGCCCCCAGGTGTCCCAGAGGACAGCTGCATCCCATTGGGTTTTCACTGGCTGATTTCTTCCCAGAAGATCCATAGATCTCCAGGCCATTCTTCCTCGGCACCCCTGGATTAGCAGCCCAGGGGGGGGTCCATGAATCCTGAACCCATCATGTTCGCTGGCTGCCGAGCCGCTGTTCAGCCTGTCTCCGCCCGCCTGTGTCTCCGGTTCAAGGGGTCCTTTCCCTGTGGCTCTGTGCAGCTTGTAGACTGGGTTTTCAGCCCAGGTTCTTGTGGAGGGGCAGGCGTGATACCTTCTGAGCGCTTTATGAGCTGGGCTAGAATCCGGAAGTCCACCCTTTGCCCTAAAAGACAAAAACATCAAAATAAAACCCCAAGCACTGCCATCGAGCCAATTCTGACACATAGCAGTCCTGTAGGACTGGGGTAGAACTACCCCTGGGCGTTTCTGAGACTGTAACTGCTCATGGGAGTAGAAGGCCTCAACTTTCTCCTGAGGAGCTGGCTGGTGGTTTCGAACTGCCAACCTTGTGGTTAGCGGTGCACCACCACACTACCAACCAATCAGGGCTACAGCTCTGCAGAATTTCTGCCGCAGAGCTCGGACCAAGCCAGCCCTCCACCCTGCCGGCTTGCCCTTGGTAACAATGACCTCCTCCCTCCTTTTCCCTGCCAGGGGACCTGTTTCAGAAGGCTGAGGTGTCCACGGTCAAGTTCCTCTTCCTGGTGGGCGGCTTTGCGGAGGCACCCCTGCTGCAGCAGGCCGTGCAGGCCGCCTTCGGCGACAAGTGCCGCATCATCATCCCCCAGGACGTGGGCCTCACCATCCTCAAGGGCGCGGTCCTCTTCGGCCTGGACCCAGCCGTGATCAAGGTGCGGCGCTCGCCACTCACCTACGGGGTGGGCGTGCTCAACCGCTACGTGGAGGGCAAGCACCCTCCCGACAAGCTGCTGGTGAAGGACGGCACCCGCTGGTGCACCGACGTCTTCGACAGGTTCATCTCCGCCGACCAGTCCGTGGCCCTGGGCGAGCTGGTCAAGCGGAGCTACACCCCCGCCAAGCCCTCCCAGCTAGTGATCATCATCAACATCTACAGCTCGGAGCACGACAACGTCAGCTTCATCACCGACCCCGGCGTGAAGAAGTGCGGCACGCTGCGCCTGGATCTCACGGGCACCAGCAGCCCGGCAGTGCCGGCGCGCAGAGAGATCCAGACGCTCATGCAGTTCGGAGACACCGAAATCAAGGCTACAGCCATCGACATCACCACCTCAAAGAGCGTCCGAGTCGGCATCGACTTCTTGAATTACTAGCCAACCCCCCTCCCCACCCCCACCCCCAGCCCTGCACTCAGCTCAGGCTCACCTGTTACCTGCAGACCTGAATCCTCACCCTTCTTTCCCGACCTCAATCCTGCACACCACCCACCTGATTTCCACAGCCAAGATGAGGACAAGCAGGGCTAGATGGGCGGAGGCATTTGGAGGGCACCCAGAGGAGCGGGAGAGAGTGAACAGAACAGCAGCAGGCCCATTCAGCTTGGGGTTGGGGAGTAGGAATTCCTGGAGCCTGGGTGCACAGCTGTGGCATGGGTACAGGTGAGATAACCCCAGGGGAGCTGGTGATGGAGCTGGCCTGGAGCACAGCTCCACTGAGTGGGGCCCAGGTTGCCCTCCTGCAATCTTGCTGGATCTGAAACAGGGACCCTCACAGGGACCAGAGGAGATGCTTCACTTCTTTGAGACATCCCTCTTTCTACATGTTTGTTGGGGGGCTGACAGCTCATCCAAGATGCCACTCTGCAGTTCGTGGTTTTATGTTTTGTTTTTCCCCTATCACCATGTGATCAAAAGTGGGGCGCAGTGAGAAATTGGAGGGATTTTAGCTGCCTCCTCTGGGCCCTGTTTTAGGTTCTCATATTTAAATTCCAGATAGGTTCTGCGAAGAAGACCCTTAGACTAATCCCATAGGGTTCATGTGCGTGGTCAAGCTGGGGCCTCCACTTCTCAGCAGGGGAAACCTGGCGTTAGGTGGATACTCACTCGTAAGAGGAAGTCGGTATCAGTCAGAGCTGCTACTGGGCCACGGCTTATATGAGGCCGTGTCGTAATTCCCAGAAGGCACACCCTGGTTTCTGAATTCATAAGTAACTCTGGTCAACCTTGGAAGGGATTCTGCGGGAGAAGAGGAGGTGGCAATTTGCCAGGCTCACATCCCCAAGACCCAGGGTCTCGATGGTTCCTGGCTTTGAAGGTAGACATTTTTTAAACGAACTCCCTCCTCCCGCACACCCTCACTCCCCTAAGATCTGTGGCTTTTCAATTCCACATCTCAAAAGGGATATGGTGGTGAAACATGAGGCAGCTTCAGTGAGATGCTTCATTAAAATCTTCAGTTATTAAAACCTGTCAAAAACCTGCTTGTCAATGGATACTAATGAATCAAACCAGCTTAAAAATATATATGCGGATATTTTAAGGAGCCCTGGTGGCACTAGGGTAAGCTAACCACAGAGCTGTCCGTTCAAACCCACCGGCCACTCCAAGGGAGAAAGACAAGGCTTTCTGCTCCAGTAAAGACTGACAGCTTTGAAAACCCAAAGGAGCAGTTCTGTTCTGTCCTGTCAGGTTGCTGTGAGTCAGGTTCAATTCAATAGCAGTCAGGTTCAAATTGCATCAGACTTGCCTGGGTGTTGGTGAAACACAGGCATCTGGATCCTAACTAGGGTGTTATTAACTGAAGCCAAATCTTGGAGGGAGGGGTCTAGAATCTGCATTTTGTTGGATGCACCATAGGTGGTCCAACTGAAACTCTGGAATTGCTCGTTAGTTACTGTTGAAAGCTGAAGCGCAGGTGGCAGCCAGCATACCTGGCCTTCCCGTTGTTAGGGGTCCCACAAGGAGAGGGTTTGCATGTACAGAGTGTGCCCCCACACCTTGTCCCTTGGTGAATGGGGCTTGGCCCCTGCCTGGCTTGGGTCCTGGTACTTGTAACCCTTAGGAAGAGAATGATGGGAAGGAAAGGACCCTAGAATGGGGACTGAATTAAGAGCCAACAGTGCTCTGCAAAAACTCAGTCTTCTTGGTCTCCACCGTCCAGGAACCCTCTGGGGACAGAGTCATGGCTCTGACTCTCTGTCACTGTTTGATCTGTTCAGGGCTGTCTGTTCCCCTTGCTTGGCATCACATCTCTGGCATCTGCAAGAGTGAGTCGAGTCTGAGTGAATTGGCTTAGACTGCAAGTTGGATTTGCATGCCCGTGGTCATTGTTGCTCCTCAGGCTCTTGAACAGCCTTTGCCATTTCATTTGCGCACACCCGCTCTTCTTTCCCACGTCAGGTGCTGCAGAACTCTATACTAGAATGTGAAACACACCCACCTCCACTGGGTGAGAGCACGCTGCGTCTGGCACTCGGTAGCAGGCTTGCCTTCCTGCCGAGGCGCAAAGACGGCTTGCTCGTGGTCTCTCTCGTGCTGCCTGCTCTGCTTCACAAGCTAAATGCCCCGGGCTTTTCTCTGATGTTGCCAGCCATACTCGACAACTAGGCCTTTTTAAAAGTTCATTTACGAGTAATATAATTTTATGTACATACGATAGTAGAAGGCTGTACAGAATCTTTATTTCTACAAAGTGCTTTTCTTGTGTATATATCTATATGAAAAAAAAGGGAGCATGCTCTTGGATTCCGTTGATGACTGCTGCCCTTTGTGGTCCACGGTCCTGTTTCTTCATAGGGGAGCCTTGGCATCATGGTGATGCACTGGGATGCTGCGATCCGAAAGATCAGTGGTTCGAAACCACCAGCTACTCCGAGGGAGAAAGTTGGGGCTTTCTACTCCCCGTAAAGAGTTACAGAGAAATCCACTGGAGCGGTTCCACCCTGCCGTGGAGGGTCTCTATGAGTCGGCATCGACTCAATGGCAGTGGAAGTTTTTTTTTTATTTCTTCATTTTCCATTGGTCTCAACACCAAGCGATGTGGACTGGTTCTCTGAGGCTGAGTTATAGAAGGAGGTGCTGAGGGTCTGAAATCTCTTTGAACAAATGGCCATCTGAGTCGACCGCCTCCCCAAAGGTTCACAGTGCTATTTAAAGGAACGCAAGGAGGGGTGGGTTCTCCTGTCCAGCCTGAGAGCCAGCTTCTGGTGCTGTAAGCAGTGTAACAGTGCAAAAAACCCTACCAAGCCCCTCGTTGCCTTTCAGCAGGGCAGTCCGCTTCCTCTCTGGGGTGGGGACCACTGCTCCCCACCACGCATGATGCTTTCAGTACGCTAGGGCCCAAGGAAGGATATGAGGGGTACAGACACCCAGCTTTTCTGCCAGATTCTACGTGAGTAATGTAGTGAAGCTTCCCCCCTCCCCGAACCCCCCCATGTCTTGAGAATACCTCCTTCTCTCCCCCTCCTGCTTAAATGATCTGGTTGAATTCTGCAGTGTTGGCAAATAGAGGGTTAAGAGGGTGGTGATTTTATTGGACTTTCTTCTTCTTACCCAAGCAATACAAGCCCAATAGTCAGAACTCCTGAAAGGAAGCCCCCAAATATATCTCCCCTGCCCATCGCAGTGTTGTAGCCTAATATACTGGGGCACATTTTCTTATCTTAGAGGGTTTCTAGAATAGTCTTGACTATTGCCCCCGAGGTCCTTACCATGCGATGTTCATGTCTTCAAGGGTTTCCTCTGTAACTGCCCTCTCTTTCTGCACACTCACACTGTGATACACGCTGACTGACGGGTTACAGCGACAGGAAAGAGGAAGGAACATACAAGATGGCTAAGATGCGTCCAGATGTTAGAGCCTGCCCCACCCTTAGATTGTTATGTAGATCAAATTTTAGCTTTTAGAGTCCAGGCCTGGTGACTTGCCAGGGTAGCAAAGAATCGCATGCACCCATATAAGCGGGAGTCAAAATGCATCAGTAGCCGAAGACCGAATTTTACCTTGCCGAGATGTTAATAGCTGTGAGTTAAGCTGCATTAAGTTGTGCTGAGGAATGACCTAAGTGAACGACGAGTATCAACGTTCTTCTTGTCCACCTCGTCACACCTCTCATCTGCGTGGACAACGGAACGCTCTTCCACAATCTCAGCCATCGGCCATCAGCTCTTGTTCACAGGACTTCGCAGCCATTCACGACGGGGCAGGATTGTATCTGCTAACTCTACACGAATAAAGCAAAACTCTGGATCTCTTGTGTCTCATGTGTATGTATGTGTGCGTGTGTACATAGACCTGTGGATTCATAAATGGAATTATAGCCTCTGGATTCCTAAATGGGATTACAGAGAACTCCCCTCTACCCATGTCAGGTGAGAATTCATTTTCAGACCATTTCCTGAAACCTCATCAACAGTCATCCCAACATGACTGGGACCTTCCTTCGATGGAAACCAAGTCTCCATTAATGTCCCCTGAGCCCCTTTCCTTTCCAAGCTAGAAGCAGTCCAGCTGGAGAGAAGGTCAGTAAGTGAGGGCAGGCAGAGGCAACTTTACTGCATCCAGAGGAGGGTCATTAAACATGCAGACGGCTTGAGACTTCTGGCTCTCTCATGAGCACACACACCTGACTGGCCAGATCTGGGGGTTTAGGCGAGGCTCTACTGGCATCACCCCCCAGAGTTGACTCTAGAAACTTCTGGAAGGCCCAGCAGGTTCTAGATAGGGTCCATTGAATTGCTAGCTCCACCAGCCAGCCTGCATGTAAAGTTCACTTTTCAGGGTCAACTTCCAGGAGTCAGGGAAAGAGTGGGGAATGTATTACCAACTTATAAACTCAAAACTCAGTGCCATTGAGTGGATTCATTCAGTGACCCTGTAGGACAGAGTAGAATTGCCCCTGTAGGTTTCTGAGATGGTAACTCTTTATGGGAGTAGAAAGTCTAATCTTTCTCCCAAGCAGTGACTGGTGGTTTCGAACAGCTGACCATGCAGTCAGCAGCCCAGCTCATAAGCCACTGCACCAGGAGGCCTCCTCCACAGGTGTGTAAGGGAGGCCCAGGAGATCATCAATACAGCCAACAATGTCCACCTTGCCCCAAACAAGCAGTTCCCGCCATCATATTAGGAGTGAGCTAAATAAATGTCAAACCAGACAGGGCAGGTGATGTTTACCATTGATCGTTTTGTATGGCTCGAGAATGATGGTATAAATGTCCAAGTGGCCTTTGGCAGGAAAAAAGTTTCCCTGTCCCTGTTGTAGGGCTGTCTCAAGGGCCATTCATAATATGTGGTAGTCTGGGTTGACTAAAGAAACAAATTCATAGACACTCATATGTGTATAAGAAAGAGCTTTATATACAAGAACAGTTGAATATTGAGAAAATATCCCAGCCCAGTCCAGATCAAGTCCATGAGTCCAATATTAGCCCATATGTCCGATACCAATCTATAAAGCCCCCTACAGACTCATGAAACACATGCAATGACACCAAATGCAGGAAGATCACAGGCCAGTGGGTGGGAAGTCTTATGAATCCAGTGGCCCTGTAAGCATCTCAGCACTGGCAGGAGTCTCCACGTGGCTTCTCCAGCTCCAGAGGTCTGGCTCCATCAGCCTCTCTCCATGTGTCTTCTCCCCAGGTATGTCTTGTAGGGGGTCTCCTTTTGTCCCACCTCCAGGGAGCTATTTATCTCCTGCGCCTCCAAATGAGGTCATCAAGCTGCCATCTGATTGATAGGCTAGACTCCACCCCTTCACTCTGAATCCTCAAATTGATACCACATTAGGTAACTACCACACCATATGTTCAAAAGGAGCCTGGTGGTGCAAAGGTTAAATGGTGGGCCACTCACCCAGAAATTGACCTTCACATTCCTCAGAGCAGCTCAACTTGTAAAAGCCCTAACAACCTACCCCTATCAACACTGACCCCAAAACTTCTGCCACCAGGTCAGTTCTGGTACATAGCCCACTGCCTCTAGCCAACTCCAACCCCTAGCCATCCTGTGCAGGGTCTCCAGGCCTGTACATCTGTACGGGAGCAGAGAGTCTCATCTTTCTCCCCAGGAGCAGCTGGGGGATTTGAACCACCAACTGCAATTAGCAGCCCAACGCTTAACCTACAGGGCCACCAGGGCTGGGGAAACCCCCAGTAGGCCATTCTGCTGCTGAAAGGTGACTTGTCAGTCCCTAATAATCTGGTCTGCACAAGGACAGCTTTGTGACTCTCAACCAATGAGCTGAGGCTCAGGTCCCCCTCCTGAGGAGGAGGGGAAAGAACCCAGATGTCTGGGGTTGACTCAGACTCAAGAGCGACCCCATGTGCTTCAGAGCAGAACTGCACCTTCTTGGGGTTTCAGTGGCTGAACCCAGGAGGCATCATGGGGTGGATTCAGAGCACTCGGCAGCCAAGCAGTAACCTATGCACCACCCAACGACTCAGTCCCTGCCCCCCATCCCCAGCTTCCATCAATGATGGGCTCTGGTGCTTAGAGGGGCGTGGACTGTGCCCCTGCCCCCAGTGGGCGCATTGCACCTTTTCTGCCTCGGTCCCTTGCCTCTCGAACATCCCCAAAGGCCATCTTTCCCCCCCTAGGAGGGGTTGTTAAGAAGCCCAGGAAGGTGAGGGACACAAACCACCTCTGCCCCACCCTGCTCCCCAGCCCCACCCCACTCCTTTCCCAACCCTGGCTGGGGTGGGGGCGGGAGGAGAAAGGCCTTTTTAAGCAGCAAGCCAGGCCCTGGCCACCTGAGTTTCCCCATCAGTTACAATGACTGATTCCCCGGGGGTGGAGGGGGGCTTGTAGTGAGGTGAGGGTGTTGGAGAAATACGCTAGAGACTAAATATTTGCACGGAGGTGGCATGGGGGCAGGGAGGCGCGTCCCTCTCCCAACCCCCACCAGCCTCTCTCCTCCCAGCTCCCAACGCCCCTGCCCACCAGCAGCTCTGGGTTTAGAGCCAGGCTACAGGGAAGAGAGGGTGTGGCCTCAGGAGGCCGAGGGGTGGGGGTTGTGGTTTCAGCTCACGCCCCGCCCCCCAGCGGTGAGCTCACAAAGGACCGCCCGTGGGGCGGGGTGGGACAGAGGAGGTAGCCGGACACCCAGGGTCACAGTCGGAAGGCCCAGGTGAGCCACTGTGGGGCGGCAGGGGTCAGGGAGTGGGGGCAGGGTAGGAGGGACCGGACCCATGCCAGTGTCTTCTGACCTCCCGACACCTCCAGACAGACACCCCACCAGCGCCCCATGCAGGCCCAGTGAGCGTCACACCTGTGGGAAACACTCCTGCATCCCAGGGTTAGCGCTCAGCGTCCAGGACGCCTTCCCTGCTGCCTTCGGTCGGATTCAGTCTGAGTGGAGTCGCAGCCATCCTACGGGACAGAGGGGAACCCTGTCCACCGCTGTCATCTTTACCGGGCGGACTGACTTTCCTTCCTCTTGGGTGCGCCGACTGGCCCGTGGCTTTGCCTTACTGACCTTTCCATTAGCTGCTAATTGCTTACCCACGGCGCCACCTGGACTCCTTTCAGACCCCCTTATCCAATCCAAACCACCTGCCATAGAGGCTATGCGGACTCTTAGGGCGATTTTAAGGTTTATAGGGCTCCTGACCCCAAGCAGGCCGCCTCATCTTTCTCCAGGGGAAGCAGAGCTGCTGATGGTTCTGAACTGTGGACGCTGCCCACTGCTTCCCTGACAACATCCTTTATGAATTCTCAAAGGAGTTGCCTCTCTGCGCCCTCTTTTGTCTCATCTGCAAAGTGAGGCCTGGAATCTGGAACAAGAATGGCCCTGCAGGGCAGTCCTGGAGACTCTCCTTGTCAACAGTGTCCTGCACATGGAAAAATGTCTGCCACCATCTCTCTTCTCCTCTGGAGACAGCTCTGCGAGTACTAGGTGTCAGGCCCTCGAGGGGACTCAATGAGCTAGTGCACACAGTGCCTTTAGAGAACCTTCCCCCGTAGGCAAGTGGCCAGCAGGTACTTAGGGAGTGAGTTGGGACTGATTGGAAGGAGCCCTGAAGCCTTCTAATGGAAAGGCGGGGGTTCCAACCCAGCTGCCACTCTGCAGGAGGGAGGAGTACAGCCTAGGAGACCCTCGGTCCAGTTGTACTCTGTCCTGCAGG